CTGTAAAGAAATGCAATTGTATGTTTGAAGTAGTGATCTCTGCTTGCTGGGCTTGCAGTCGATGTTTACTGTCATTTTAATTGTAGTCTGTATTTTCATCTTTTCCGCAATGAACATGGATTACTTTGATAATTATTTTAAAAACTGAGCAGTGCCATTTTGAAGGAAGCAGGGGGCAACGGTGGAAGAGAGAACAGATTACCGTGCAGGATCCGGCCATAGAAGAATAAGATATCAGAAGCAGAAGAAATCGTAGAAATGGCCTAAGTTCAACCTTCTCAGTAAACTGAGAACATGTGGCCAACCGGACTGGGGAAATGCCCTGGCAGGAAGAAGGTCGGAGAAACAATGGACCCCACAGCCACCCGATCACCCAGTGCCTCTCCCTCTGACAGTCTTGCCCGACCCTCTCTGTCTAATGGGCCCTGCTGGCACAAAGATTACTTCGAAGGAGTGAGGTTAATGTCTGGCCTTGTCATGGCTTTCAAACCACCATGAGTTGGAAAAGAAAGTGTGGTTCCATGGTTAGTGTCAAGTTGGCATCAGAAACGTGTTACAGCCTTTCCCAGAGTCTTCAGACATGGCCTTAGTCCATTTGGGCTGCTCTAACAGAATACTGTAGCCTGGGTAGCTTCAAGGGCAAACATTTCTTACTCATGGTTCTGGAGGCTAGGAAGTCCAAGATCAAGGTGATCAGGTGTAGGCAGATCCAGTGTCAGGGGAGAGCACTCTGTCTGGTTTGCAGATAACCTTCTCACTGTGTCCTCTCTTATACGAGACTCTGTTCCTCTTATAAGGATACTGATCCCTTCATGGGGGCTCCAGCCTCATGTCCTAATTACCTCCCAAAGGCCTCACCTCCAAATACTATCATATCAGGGCTTCACCATATGAATTTGGGGGAGGGGGACACAAATATGCAGTCCATAACAGATATCAAAACCTTCTCTGGAGAAAGTGGGGGCAAGCAAGAACGTGCAAGGATAATTAATTATAGAGGATGGCAGAAGACCAGAAATTTGCCTACTTACATACATGTTTATGATCTGTCTCCTCCCTGCCCCGTACCTGCCAGCAGACTCCCCACCACATACGCATCTGCACTCCGTGAGAGCGGCGACCGCCTCAGACACCACTGCTTCCCCAGAACTTAGCACAGAAGAGGCCCTCAGGAACCTCTTGTCAAATGAGGAATGAGTGAACACCATTTTCCTAGAATGTGGGAGACCCGACATGTTCCAAGTTAACAGTGTTTCCAGACTTTAAACATTTTAATTCCAAAAGAGCAGAATGTTTAAAAAACAATATTTTTGGGGGGCACCTGGGTGGCTCAGTCATTGAGCGTCTGCCTTCGGCTCAGGTCATGATCCCAGGGTCCTGGGATCGAGCCCCACGTTGGGCTCCCTGCTCCATGGGAAGCCTGCTTCTCCCTCTCCCACCCACCCCCCGGCTTGTGTTCCCTCTCTCGCTGTGTCTCTCTCTCTGTCAAATAAATAAATAAGATCTTTAAATAAAAAAACAAAAAAAACACAATATTTTTCGGCACTTCATGTTGATTTTGCACAACTGCAGCACGATGGTTTCAAGAGCTGTCGGTAGCAAGCACATAAGCACCAGGGGACCCCCAGGGATGGGCATATCTAGTAGAGACTGTCATGATGTCCGCTCTGTCTGTTGTCTTCCGCTCCTTCCTCCACTCCTCCCTCTTGGTGTCTTTTTAATTTGGCCAATAGATATACTTTTCTCTGGGGGATATTTCTTAAATGTAGACTACCAGATCCTAGGCTTCTACTCTCTGGGGTGTACTTAGTAGGAGGATAAGTCAGAGATTGGGCAGGTTCCTGTAGCATAATTTTTTTTTTTAATTTTAAAAATCATAGTGAAATACACTTTTCTCTCCTTCTGCCCCTCCCCCTCAAATAAATAAACATAAATCTTAAAAAAAATAAAATTGTGATTTGGATATATGTCATATCACTGTGCATGGAGAGCAAGGAACTGTGTGCTGGACATACATACCAAATACATTGGTGTGTCTCCTTTGTCAATCTGTATGTTAAGCAGACTGTACACTTTCAAAGATAGATCATTGGGTACTTGATTTATTCGTAGAACGCTGGTTATAGTCGAGGCGTGCTGCCAGTTAATGTCTCTGATTTAACTGTCTGTCTAAGCTTATGTCTTGAATGGTGAAATTCTCCAAGTGTAGCTCAGATTTGAAACAGCTGCAGCAGACCCAACCACCTTGGAGGGTGGAAATATCCCCAAGTGACATGAAGTAAATTAACACATATTGAAAGGGGAATTTTCTAAGGCTAGGAATCAACCATTTTCCCAGCAAACCTCCTACCCAAGTGGGACCCAGGGGACACCAAATGAAAGGCGGCGAAAAGAAACAGACTTGGCCCGTGTGTCTCCAAAAAGCCAAATGCAGTCCGAGTGAACTGAAATGATCTGCCCAAACAGATTAGGTATTTTAACACCAATTCTCAGACCTCAGAAGTGAGTCTGCCTCCTGGCAGACAACCAACACTGTCTTATTTAATTTTTAGATTTGGCTGTTAAATTTGGCCCAGTGGGAGCTTGTGTTTGGACGTATGAAGGTGGCGGATTTCGGGTGGGAAGGCCCGGGTTCCAGCTCAGTGACTTACCCGCTGTGTGAACTCAGACAGGCCATTTCACCTCCTTGAAAGTGTTTTCTCACCTGTACAACGAGGGAAAACTCCTGCTCTGCTTGCCTTATGGGGAATTTGAAGATCAAATGAGACCGTGTTTGGGAACTGTGAAATCACTATGCGGATGACCAGCATAATTATGCTCACAGGCAGAACATCAAATCCCTTCTGCCTGGTTCACTCAATTCTGCATTTAATTTACACACTGTGGATTTTAACCCTCATTCTTCTTTTTTTTTTTTAAAGGATTTTATTTATTTGAGAGAGAGAGAATGAGAGAGAGAGCATGAGAAGGGGGATGGACAGAGGGAGAAGCAGTTTCCCTGCTGAGCAGGGAGCCCGATGCGGGACTCCATCCTGGGACTCCAGGATCTGAGCCGAAGGCAGTCACTTAACCAACTGAGCCACCCAGGCGCCCTTAAGCCTCATTCTTGCAGGAAAGCCCTTTGGGGAGTATCATTTCAAGACCTGGAACTGCTATATGTGTAGTTGCCCTATTCATCTCAGAGTCCTCTGAGATAAGGAAAAGACTGGAATTATGGGGAAAAATAGACCCAGAGAGACAGTAGGCCAAGGGCACAAAGGATTGCCATCCTGCTATTCTTTCTTTCCTAGAGGACACTGACATCTAAGTCCAAAGATTCTCATCAAAAGTTAGGCTCACAGTTCCCCCAATTTTCCCCTTCTTTGCATCTTCTCCCTGTGGATGAAAATGCTGAGTTTGTGTGTTGTTATCTTGAACCCTACTGGACACAACACTTAGTAACTCTAATGATTGGGCATAAAATATATATCTGGTAAATATTTATAATAGAGGGAAATAAAATCGTTCTCTTACCATCTTAAGTTTCTGAGACTACAACTCGAGAAACGACACGTTCACCTTATTTTCCACAAATCTGAGGTGCCATTGCTTCTAAGACCCACCATTTTTTATAAAAAATTTTATTTATTTATTTGACAGAGAGAGACACAGTGAGAGAGGGAACACAAGCAGGGGGAGCGGGAGAGGGAGAAGCAGGCTTCCTGCTGAGCAGGAAGCCCGATGCGGGGCTCGATCCCAGGACCCTGGGATCATGACCTGAGCTGAAGGCAGACGCTTAACGACTGAGCCACTCAGGTATCCCTAAGACCCACCATTTTTTACGCACTGCAAAGAGAGGAAAAGCTTTATCAGTTAAAATATGACACAGTGCTTTCTCATTGTGTCAGTTGTGATTTCACAGATGTTAAAATGTGAAAGAAATATGCACCTTAGAACAGATGAAATGCAGTGTGTTTACCTCTTCCAAAAGGTAAAGTTTTCTTTTGGTTCTGATGCATTCTTAGATTAACAAACTTCAAAAATGGTCTCATTTTTGGTCTCTGCTCCTTGCATTTACACGTGGTATGCAATCATGCTTTTAGGTGGGTTGAAGGGGGACATTAAATCTGTTTTTCTTATGGATACTATAGTACCAAGTACTTTGGCACTTGAATATATAGATTTAGGTAAAGGCGACTCATAAAATACTTGTCAGAGCCCAAATTACATTAATCCTGTGGTCTGTCACTTATTACAAGATTTAAAAGAGGAAGAAATGTTTAAGGGTATGGGATGCATCTATTGTCTTTTTTCCTGCCACACAGTGCTTTTTATTATTTTTGTTGTTACTATTATTCTGTGTAACGCTTGATTTGGCGGTTTAGTGGCTGTTGTTTAGGTTATTCTTGGTTCAGGAAAGCGACTGAACTGTGAGTTTCCCACTGCACAGAGAAATTAGGCATGAACAGGTTCAGATGATTAGAGCTGCCTGGGTGGAAATAATGATGTTTTCATAAAATGCAAGGTGGGAATTTGGAGTCTTTCTGCGCAGAAGGGAGTATGAAGAACAGGGAAATACAGTTTCTGTGACAATCCTGTGCACGTTTTTCATGGACCAGAACTTGCTCATAATTCTACTGTTGGGGACAAGAAAAACTGCACCTGTTTCTAACTCGTTCTGTAGTTACCTTCTCACCTTACTCTGGCCTATCAGGTCATTCCTTATACACAACAGCCAAGAGAGTCAACACACAGAAAAGATTTCTAAGGACTAGACCATGGCCGGGTGGAGAGGAAGGATCCAAGTCATTGTAGCTCCTGTAGGCTTCCTAACAAGCATTTGGGCACCATGATCCTTGCTCCCTGCCTGGGAGGAGGAGGGTATGGGGGCGGGGCGTGGCTGGCGTGGTACTACGTTGGCGAGCGTCGGTAGCCGTCATGCTGGGTGGGCAGCGGGTGGAAAACTATTAATGTTTGGTCACCGCTAACCCACATCTTGCCCACCTTTGTCTCCCCTGCAGTCGGAGTACCACTACGAGTACACCGCGTGTGATAGCACGGGATCCAGGTGGAGGGTCGCTGTGCCGCACACCCCGGGCCTGTGCACTAGCCTCCCCGACCCCGTCAAGGGCACCGAGTGCTGTAAGCGGTCCTGCGTCTCGCCCTTGGCCTCTGCCCCAAGCCTCCTGCCATCGGAGCCAAGCCCTCCTTGACGGTGCTGCTGGCTTAAGGAATCAGATCTTTCCCTCAGTTAGCCCTCCACCCCTTTGAGCTTTGGCGCAGGAATGTTATTTCATGGCTGCAAACTGGGTATCTAAATTTGCTTTTATTTTCATTCTTCTTTTAATTGAAATCTCATCAGGGGATAAAGGATGAGCAACTCCAGCTGTGTGCCACTCAGATCTTTCTTTTTTTCCCAGTTTGCATCCATTTGCTTTTGTGCCTGTGCAGAGCTCTCCAATCTACACTCCCCAGCCACAATCAGTCATTAGGAAAGACTGTGATTTGCTTTTGTTCTTGAAAAGGAAACCAGACAAGATGAATTTCTGCAGAGACAGATCTTTAAACTGCACTGGGCATCGCCTCAGGGGATGAGAATCTTCCCCAGCGGTGGAGCTGCTGTGCAGTTGGGGAGACTGTGACCTGTCTGCAGCCCCACCCCCACCTCTGTGACTCTGTCGTCCCAACTTTTCCACAGCTGGCAGCTACTTCCCCTCCACTGTTCTTTCTAGAAATGCAAAGGGGTAACACTAGGGACTAGAGTCAAAGAATACTTGAAGATTTGGAAAGGAGATGGGGGACATTTACATTCTAAAAAAAAAAAAAAAGCTTGCCTAGTGCCTGGTTCAGTCAGAGAGCAAATAAATGCCTGTTAAATTAATGAGTTGATATTGCTAAGATCTGAGCAGGACCAAGGTGTGACTAATGCTAACCAAGGAGCCATCTTCAGGTAACTCGGCCAACTCAGTTGAGCTCCTCCTGTGTGCATGCCCTGTGACCCACAAAGAGACATAAGGCACAGTCTCTGCCTTCAGACACCTGCTGTCTGCTGGCAGAAGCAGACATTCATGCATCCGTTCATTTCTTCAGTAAACCTTTATGGAGCCCCCGCCATGTCTGTGCCAGTCACTGAGCCACTGTCCCTGGAGGAGCCCAGAGCCTAGAGGGAGGCACACATCAATACGATGTGTTAATATGAGATGCAGAAGAATGGGAGTTACGGATGCTTAGGGATCAGGAAGAGCAAACTTGGGCAAAAAGTTTGCAGGTGGAAAAACACCAGACACATTCAGGGAAGAACATGTGGTCTGGGGCAGGGGCAACACAAGGAAGGTGACAGAGAGGGCTGCGGCGGAGAAAAGCCTGTAGGGGGAGATCAAGCTGGAAAATTAGGTTGAGGGAAAATTATGGAAGGCTTTGAATGCTTGGCTGAGAGCTTAATTCTATAACCAAAGAGGAGTGCCTAATAGTACGTATCAGTGTTTTAGAAAGAGACTTCAGACCACAGAATGAGCAAAAAACCGGAAACAGGGAACTAGTTAGGGGGACCCTGCAGTGGTTGAGCTAATAGGCATGAGAATCCCGACCATCATGGTGGCAGTGGAACCAGAAAGGAGACAGAGGCCAGAGACTCAAGGCAGGAAATTCGTGGCTGAAGGGCTGGGCACCGTTCAGAGGGGTCAGCACGAGAGGCCATGGTCTCCTCCACTGGAGAGCTCTCAGAATGGCCGAGGCTTTCCCTTAGCAACTGTCAGGGACAAGCCCAACATCCCTCAGCAAGGCAGAGTTCCCACAGCCCTAAATCTTTTTTTTTTTAATAACAGCTTTATTGAGATATAATTTGTATGTCATAAAATTCACCCCTTGAAAGTGTAAAGTCCAGTGTTTTTTTTTGAATAATCACAGTTGTACCACCACTATCTAGCTTCACAATATTTTCATCACCCCCAAAAGAAATATCACATCCACGAGCAGTCTCTCCCCATGTTCCCCCGCCCAAGTCCCTGGCACCACAAATCTGCTTTCTGTCTCTGCGTATTTGCCCATTTTGGACATTCCATATACATGGAATCATACAAGATGTGCCGTGGTTCTAAATCTCCATGGGGCAAACTCCTAGATCTCGATCCTCTGTTTCCCCTTTTAGGGTGCCCACAAGCCGCCCACTTCTTCTGGAGTGGCAGCAGCCTCACCACCCTGCCCTTATCCCCACTCTGTGTTCCAGCCTTCTCCTGCAAAGCTGGGGAGTTTCTGGACATGAAGGACCAGTCCTGTAAGCCGTGCGCCGAGGGACGCTACTCCCTCGGCACGGGCATCCGGTTCGACGAGTGGGATGAGTTGCCCCATGGCTTTGCCAGCCTCTCAACCAACATGGAGCTGGAGGACAGCACCACTGAGTCCATGGAGAACTGCACTGCGTGAGTGCCTCTCCCCCTCCCCTCCCCTGTGCTGGGCTGGGGAGGATGGAAACGAGGGAGCCAAGCAGCCAAGGGGAGGCTGGAGCAGCTTCCCACAGGACTGTTGGACATGACGCCCACCTCAGCCCACTCTTACTGATCCAAACTTACCAGTGACTGACAGGCGCTTGTGAGAGGATAATAGGTGGATAAGGTGGACAAGGGTTAAATGGCCCGGTTCACTTAAAACAAAACCTAGTTGAAAAAAAAAAAAAAAAACAAAACCTAGTTGGATTTCCACCATGGGATTTTAGATCGGTGATAAACTTCCTCAACTTGATTTCAACACAATGTGCAAAGCGTTAGGGATCTTCCTGGCTTTGGTGCTAACTTCTAAAACTGATCAGCCCAACTGGAGTTTATAGGGTTGCGGGGGGATAGTCTAGGACCAGAGCTTTGGTCAGTGGCGGTCCAAACCCCTGGAAACCCCGGGGACCTGAAAATTTTCCAGCTCAGAAAGCGATCTTTTCAGTACTTGAAAAGCTCAGCCCCAGATTCTGTGGGAACTGGTGAGCTATGCTTATCATATCTTTGGATTTTTAATTCTGGGGACAGAAATTAAAGGATGCGCCTTTTATGTGTCAGGCACTGTTCTGGATGCTTTCCCTATATTACTTTCTATAGTCCTCTCAAGAACCCTCTGCAGTTGGTATTATTGTTCCCTTTACACAAATGAGGAACTGGAGGCTCAGAGAGGTTAAGTGACTTGTCCTTTTTTATCCAGCTTAGAACCAGTGATACTGGAATTCAGACCCAGTCCCAAGCTTTCTACTGCCCTGTGCAGACACTCTCAAATAACATGTAGCATACACAAGGCAATGCTGGGTTCTTACAGAGGAATTGTGAAGGGATGCACAGATGGAAAAGACAGTCACCCACTGCTCCTTGTTAAATATTGACAAAGAAGATGAGAGAAGGGCCACCTGGGTGCCTCAGTATTAAGCATCTGACTCTTGATTTCAGCTCAGGTCACGATCTCAGGGTTGTGAGACTGAGCCCCACGTCGGTCTCTGAGCTCAGCATGGAGCCTGCTTAAGATCCTCTCTCTCCCTCTGCCCCTCCCCCTTTAAAAAAAAAAAGAAGAAGATGGGAGAAAAGTATATGAAAGTTGCTCTTATACCCAAGCAATCAAAAGGATAAAAAGAAATTAATAATTGTTTACACTTGTATTACACTTGGAGTTCTAAAACTGGGACCAATGTCTCCCATTCCTACACTTAAGTAGAAGTACCATTATTGAGAAAAAAAAAAAAAAGGAAGCACCATTATCAGAGCCAGGCAGCAGGCATTTTATGGTCCAATTTTAAGGTCACTTTAGAGTTTAATATTATGTGTCAAAATCATTGGCATGACCAGGTTGTCAGCAGATATAAAGCCAGAGAGGATTTAAGCTGAAAGGGGACCCATTTGCTTCCTAATAGAGAATGCGATTGACCTCAAACAAGGTGCAGGCCTGGCTCACTCAGTCAATTCTTACCCACACGAAGAAAGGGTTTCTCTCTCTCTGGGGACCTCCCTGAGAGTCCAGAAATCATTACCACTCAGCAAGACAGGATGTGGGCCGGTTAATAACAACTGTGTTTCCACAGCACAGAGGGCTTCAGGGCCTGGATCTTAAGGCAGCCCGAGACATCCCCGGGAGTGGGGGGAAAAGGATGTTTCTCCTCTGTAGAAACAGAGAGGGAATGGGCACCTAGAGAGGCTTTGTGATTTCCCCACTGCCCTCAGAAAGGCGGGAGTGGGGCTAGTACCAAGGTACCGCGGGCCTGGCTTTCTTGCTCAACTGTGTGTTTACCTGAATCCATGCCCACCGCCTCCAACCTGACCAGAGCCCGCCTCCTGCCTGTTCTGCCTCCGGTACCCCCCTTCCCCACAGAGAGTCTCTGCTTCCACTCCAGCCTCTGCCGGCTTCTGGGCACCAGCAGCCAAACCCATCTACTTAAAACATAGATCCAACCACAGTACTTCCCTGCTCAAAACTCCAGATTCCACGGATTCCTGTTTTCTGGGAATAAAATCCAATACTCTGCCACAGCCTGCATGGCCCTGCCTGGTCTAGCCTCTGCCTTCTGCCCATTTCTCCGGCTTCACTCAAGTTACCTTCCCTCTAGCTTACTAGGGCTCCAGCCATGCTGGCAACCATGCTCCTTCCCTCCTGGGTCTTTGTTTTTTGTTTCTTTTAAGATTTTATTTATTTATTTATTTATTTATTAGAGAGAGAGAGAGAGAGAACACACATGCATGAATGAGGGGAGGGGCAGAGGGAGAGGGAGAGAATCTCAAGCAGACTTCAAACCCAATGAGGAGCCTGACGCGGGGCTCCATCTCACGACCCCGAGATCATGACATGAGCCAAAATCAAGAACCGGACACTCAACCAGCTGAGCCACCCAGGCACTCCCCTGAGTGAGTCTTTGGACACACTCTTCTCCCGCTCTTCTGGCCAACTCCGGCTTCACCCTCAGCTCTCTGCCTAAATGTCACTTCCGGGGAGATGCCAGCCCTGGCCCCATAGATTCCCATTACATACACACTCTTGCACCATCTTATGTTTCTCTTTATGGCACTTATCAGACTAATTACTATGTGATTAGTTGTGTGATTAGTTAAGTGTCCTAATCACTTCTGTGCCTCAATTTCCTCGTCCTAAAAAAAAAAAAAGTGATATAAACACGGTATTCTTCTTATAGGTTGTGGTAAGGATTAAATGAAATGATCCGTGTGAAGAATTTGGAGCAATGCCTGGCTAGAAATCAATGAACACATGTTGTTATTATTGAATGTGAAATGATCTTCACCAGAGACAGCTCTGACAAAACCCAGAATCATGATGCCTTGTGCAAATGTAGCCCACTTATGGCATCCTTTTGATTATTCATCTCACTTTGGGAGTTATTTATAGATAATGCCATGAAGCACATCAGCATTAAGTGTTGTCTCTTAACAGGAGAAATCAGTACCATTAAGTTAGTTGGGGTGTCTGGGATGAGCTCGGTTTAGGCATTTTGGATATGCTTCCATTTGAGAATTACACTATTGAAGAACTGAAGTACATGTTATCATTCTAACACACGCAGGGGGAAACCAGTAGACTAACTGGAGGTCCCCTTCACTGGCCATTGTTAATAATTGCCTGGGCTCACAGAGTCTGTCAGCCAGCCAGGAGGACAGACAATAAGAAGAATTAAATAAAGAGGAATTAGAATATGATCGGAGGAGGAAGCCGGATTGCAAATAAACTAAAGAAAAGATGCTGAACCCCGCTAATAATCAAGAAAATAAGATTTAAAGCCCAAGGAGCTGCTCTCTCCTACCATATCACATTGGCAACAACTTTACAATCTGACCATTCCAAATTTAGGAGCATGTGGAGCAACAGGAACTCTCTCACCTGCCAGTGGGCGTATATCAGTAGGAACCACTTTGGAGAACAGTGTGGCAGGAGCTGGTAAAGTTGCCCTCTAACCCAGCATCCCCCTCAGACATGCATACAAGGAGAGGAACAAGAATGTTTCGAACAGGAGTGTGTACAATAGCAAAAAAAATAGAAACAATCTAAAAGTCGATCAGTGAGTAATAGGTAAATAAATACGGTAGGCAAAATTAGATAGTAGCAAAAATGAAGAAAGAGCTTCACGTGCGGATATGGATGAATCCCACAATCATTATATTGAAACAAACAAAAAGAGCAAGTTTCAGAACACATAAGTATGATGCCATTTACATGAGGTTTAAAAACATGCAAAAGCACGATCATAGAACATATTGTTTAGAAATAGCTGTATAGGGTGCCTGGGTGGCTCAGTTGGTTAAGCGACTGCCTTCGGCTCAGGTCATGATCCTGGAGTCCC